TAGAACTCTCCTCCGGCGTTTACCACATTTTGATATTATCCACTATAGTATGTAGATTTAAAAGCAGTTTAATAAGCAAAAACATTTATTCTCTGCTCTCAAACAGGTTTTGTGCTAACGATGGAGTTGGTTGGAGCGAGTAAACGTACGGCATGTGGAATTTCGTTTCAAGCTGCTTTTGCCGGTGGTATCATGTTGGTGGCTGCTTGGGGAGCCATAATTCCAGACCGCAAATGGCGAAGGTCCTGCATCTAAGCGTCTGACAGCTCACTTCTAGCGCTACGAGACAAGTGTCAAAAGTTGTGACACAGATCGTTCAATGTATTATTGAATCTTTTTTATATTTGTTAATAAAGTAGACAAAAAAAATAAAAATGTCACGAATGTGCAAAATTGATTTTTGTGAGAGCGTAGCACGCGATAAACATTATTTTTATAATTAAAAAATGTTTCTTTCATTACGGAACATTGTTGATGCGTTCAATTTGTCGCGTTCATGAGTGCGTCTAACGACGTAAAGAATTGAAATGAACTTCACTGAATGCGCTCATCGCAAATTCGTGTTTTACTTTGTTTTGTTAGTGTGGTGCAGGGGTTGTGGCAAATGGTTACAAGTTATTTATGGGTTACATAGCTGTTTGCTGCTATTTCATTATTGGCTGATGGATGAATCACCAAGATGGTTATGGGCTCAAGGACGTCGGGAGGAGGCTGTTAAAATCGTTGCCAAAGGAGTTAAATGGAATAAAAACGGAATTCCATTGGATGAACAATATTATCTATCCAAAGCCAAGTATATGTCGACCAACACGTAAAGAAGGCAAGAACGTTAGATCATAATTTGCTCTCCTGAAATTATATTTGCGGTGATTAAAAACAGGCAAATATTTCACCTCTTCATTTATTGTGATCTCAAGGGGTGGATGGTATCCATCCACATTGACTAGAAATTCATCCGACTCAACAACATTGAGCGCTCTCAACGGATCAGACGATAGAACTAAATCCAAAATCTTGCCATCTTTGTTTACTACTGGATTGTGCTGTCTTAAGTTTCCAAAGCTGATAAAATTTAGTACATCAATTGCTTTTTCACAATTGTTACTGAGAAAAGGTGTTAAAATCCCATCGTTTTCCAAGACCCAATCAATAGCACGCACATTAAAGTCACCAATAATGAGCACTCTATCAGATGGGTCCAGTCTTGAAAGACTTTCTTTGATTCTATCAGCAAATGCAACGTATAGATGCGCATTGCTAGGCATGGATGTAATGTACACTGCACATATGAACAAATTACTATCAGAGTTGTCCAATTTAACCTGTACCCACAAATCCTTAACAAAGTCTATGTCAGATTCCAAGTCATACCTACGAGTCACATCCAATTCTTTTTTATGAAAAAGCCAGCACCCACTCCCCATAGTGGTTTTTGTATTTTGATAATTGCGGTCTCTACGATGCGATGAAAATTGTCCGTGATGTATTCAGAGGAGTGGAAATCCGGATTCAACCATGTTTCAGTCAGAATGTGAATGTCTGCTTCAGAATTAATTATGTTTGTGGAGAAATCATCAATTTTTCCTCTCAATCCTCTCACGTTTTGATATCGAATGACAATTGACATTTTTGAATTTACCTGCATCGCAATAGGAATAGAAAAAAAGAAAAAAATTAAAAAAGAAAAATAATTTATATAAATAAGTAAATGATTCGGTTTAATGAAATGAAAAAAGTAAAAATATAATAATAATTTAAAATCGTTGATTAATTTGAATGAAATGATACGTGATGCATTTAGACCATTGCCGCAACTCATTTGGTTTTCTTAGCGTTTGAATCATGCGGACTTGTTTGTTCATCTGGTTTGTTTCTCTTCATGCTTGTTGATTTGCCAGCCCGTACCCGTAGTGTGTCGATGTCATCGATTGAGCGAATGTTGACAGGTTTGTCGTTCTCCTTCAGTTTGATAAGGCACCCCGTAGTACCAAAAAGTACGCAAAATTCCCTACAACTTTGCTTAAGACAGTTCTCGCTTATCTTTTATCAATAACGCTAAAAACCGCGAAAAATCGCAGAAGACCGCCCACAATATGGGATTTTTGGTAAGTTTTTTTTCACGTGACTGATAAGAGATATCATTAATGAACAGCAAAAACAAAGTCGGTCCTATGTGGCTTCCTTGTGAACTCCGGAGTTAACTACAAAATTGTCAGATTGTTGATGTTCGTATAACATAAATTGTCGTCTATCGGTGATGTACGATTCGATCCAGTTGACAAGATTAAGCGGAAGGTTGAATTTATCAAAATGCGATGATTCACCCGATCAAAGGCTTTGCTGAAGTCGGTATAGAGCACATCAACTTGACCATGGTTCTTAATTACGTAGTGAGTGAATTCCATGAGATTCGTTGTCGTTGAGCGATGTTTCATAAATCCGTGTTGCTGCGGAATTATTTGAGTGTCGATCAATTTGATGAGTTTGATGTTTACCAGTTTTTCGAAGAATTTAGCAATGGTAGGCAACTTAGCAATGCAACGGTAATTCTCAATGTTCGATTTCGAGCCCTTCTTGAAGACAGGACTGACACTGTATCGTTTCCAAGCGGTGGGGAACGTTGATAATGCAAGTGATTCGTTGAAAATAATCGATAGTGGTTTGTAGAGTAATGCCGAGCAATTTCGAAGTAGCAAAGGGTGAATACCATCCGGTCCAATTCCTTTAGTTGTGTCGATCTTCATGAGCTCATCAAAAACAAAATGCTCGTCAAGATCAAATAAAACGTTCGTTGTAATGTGACGGTCATTCATTTGATTGTCGTTGATATTTTGACGCGATGAATCATGGAAGTTCGTGCTGAAGAATTCGGCAAACAATTTCGACTGCTCATTTGTGTTTGTTGTTTCTTTTTCACCATAACGAAGGAGTTGGGGTGTATTTGCATTTTTTCTCTTTGAATTAACAAATTGCCAAAATGATGCTGGATTTGTGCTCAAAGACGATGACATTTTCTTGACGTAGTCATTGTACAGTTGAGTATTCAATGTGTTAAATTCGGCTAAAGCATTACGGTAGTCGCTGAAATCATCTGCGAATTTTGGTGCAATAAATGCTGGTAGAAGTACATTCGTCTCGGTTTTATCCGGAACCCAATTTGAATTTGGAATGTTGAAATCGCCCGTCAGTATAATTGTGTCCTTTTGCGTTTGACATGTCGTACAGAGAGCGTATCGCACGAAAGTGAGCGATGTAAACATTTTCATCCAAGTGTGGTGGGATGTATGCGTTGTAAATGAACACATTGGAGTTGTTCGCTGTTTGAATTTTTACACATACACATTCGATGTTGGCTGTACCAGTCAATACGATGTCATTGCAAATGAGATGAGAGTGAACTGCAATTAGCACTCCGCCACCCCTTTCGTAAATTGAATTAGTTTCACAGCGATCCTTTCTGAACACATTGTATGTTTCATCGAAATATTCAGAAGAATTATGGCCACTGGTAAGCCATGTCTCCGTCAGCGAAATGATGGTATAATCAGTAGCTGATAAATTGCAGTAGAATTTTTTCGATTTGGAGCGGAGACCACGAACATTTTGAATGTACATGCTGGCTGATGACAGTACTGAGTTGATGAATTGTTGATGAATCACGTTGATTTGTGGCGCATTTGAGTTGCGTTTGAAGAAATTGGTGACTTTTGGTTGAGAGCGGCGACTGCGATGATTTGGAGAAGGAGAAGAGCTCAAATTAGGTGGTGCAGAACCATTTCTCGCTTGGCGAGAACACATACTAGTTTTTAATGAGTTACCTGGAATCATTGCAACAGGATTGTTGATTGTTTCATTGGTTTCATTGGTTTGGTGGATAATTTGCTGATGGTTACAGATCCGATTTGCTTTTCCAATCGTTAGCCGTCCGTTGACAGATGTGACAGGTCGATGAAATCGTTTTTTGAGGCCGTAGCTGAATCATCCATTTCCATCGTCTCGGGATTTCCACTGCTTTTGTTGGCCAACTCATTGATTTTGCTTGAAACGAAATTTCCAAGCGGTTTTCTTTCTTTCTTCGGCTTCTGTTCCTCGACAAAATCACCAATCAACACGTGCTGTGGCCAAAATGACGGCAAAATCATTTTTTCATATAGTGCTTCGGTACACGCACACGGAATGAAATGAAAGTCAATTCGTCGAGATTTTGCCCTGCTTTTTTTTATCCACAAAAAACCACCCCTTCATTTTGTAGGATGGCTCAAAAATCTCCATTTTTAAGGGTGACTTTTGACCTTGAAGTCAGGTTTTTCGGGGATGATTTGTTTGGCAAAATTGTATATCTTGACAAGATCTACAATAGACTGCTCCAGAAAAAAAGTTGGTCGAAAAAAAAGTGCCGTCCAGTTTCGCAAAAAAATACCTAAAAAAAATAGGTTTGGTCCAAAAAAACCATATGGGTACCATATAAAAACCCATGGCAAGCCCCAATAGCAAATTTTTCATGAACGATATATTTGTTCGTCGCAAGCCCTTCGGATATCTTCCATAGTTTCTGAGTTATATCTCGGTTATATCTCGGTATCTGAGAACCTTCAAAAATGGGTACTAATGGCACCTTTGGGTCGCAGTTTTCTTGGGTTAACGTCGGAATTGGTTTCTGAAAATTGGCATACGGGCCTAAAATTGGACGATTTTTTGACCTATGATAAAAAAAAGGTACCTTAACCTTCAAACCGTGAAACCTATTTTATAACGTTGTTCGTGAAACCGGTGCCTGAGTGCCCCAAGTGCATTTTTGTTTGAAAACTAGAGTTTGATAAGAGATAAACGATTTGTAACTTGAGCAAAGTTATAGAGCATGTCAAGTACAAAAGAATTCTTGCAAACACTATTCCGTTATCTCATATCAGTTCCGCGAAAAAAACGCCAAAAACGCGAAAAACGCGAGATTTTCCATATCATTTTTTACAGAAATGATAAGAGATAAGAGATATTTGTCTTGAACAAAGTTGTAGAACAGGTTGAGTTCTACAATATTCCCGAAGACACCAACTTGTTATCTCTTATTATCAGTTACGCGAAAAATGATAACATAAAAATCGCGTTTTTCGCGGTTTTTCGAGCAACTGATAAGAGATATTAAGTTGGTGTCTTCAGGAATGTTGTAGAGCTCAACTCTTTCTACAGCTTTGCTGAAGACAGATTTTCCCTAACTCTTATCAGTTACGCGAAAAATGACAAGTAAAAAACCCGTATTTTTCGCGGTCATCTGCGGTTTTTCGCGTATTTTGCGCAACTGATAAGAGATAAGAGATATCTGTCTGGGACAAAATTGTAGAGCGAAACAAGTTCTACAATATTTTCGAAGATTTTATCTCCTTATCTCTTATCAATTATGCGGAAAACCGCGAAAACGCGATTTTTATGTTATCATTTTTCGCGTAACTGATTAGAGATAACAAGTTAAAGTCTTCGAGAATGTTGTAGAACTCAACCTGTTCCACAACTTTGCTGAAGACAGATATCTCTTATCTCTTATCAGTCCATCGAAAAATTAGATAAAAAAAAATACGCGTCTTCCGCGTTTTTTGCATATTTCGCGGAACTGATAAGAGATAACGGAATAGTGTTTGTAGAAATATTGTAGTACTTGACATGCTATATAACTTTGCTCAAGACACAAATCTTTTATCTCTTATCACACTCCAGTTTTCATACAAAAAAACACTTTGGGCACTCAGGCACCCGATTCACGGTTCTAAGGTTAATAACGCATTAACTTGAGATAACTCAATATTTTCATCGAATTTCCATA